GGGGTAGACAGCTCTCTACAATGTTTAGAATTTAGACTGCAGTACCCATTTTAACCACTAGGGGTCAGAGTTACATTTTGCTCCTTTTTAGGTATTTTTAATCATATTAATTGCATACTTTTTTGTCCCTGTCGGCCCACCATAGTTTAGCTATGGAGTCTTCCTGCAGCTGCGGTGAGAAAAGACTCTCAAACAGCTCAGCGGACGAGTCCAAATAGGAAGTACCTTATCTTAAGGCAGTACAAAAACACCGAATGAAACTGTGATTAATAACAATAATAAGGAAATTTAAGTTTTACGGCCTTAGAAAAAAAAAACATAACTAGCAAAGTTTTTGGTTTAATTCTTGGAAAGAGAAAATGTTATCGGTGGTACCCTACAAAGCAGTAAACTGTTTCTAGACTGTTTCTAGACTGTTTTCCTCCTCCTCCTCCTCCTTCCTCCTCCTCCTCTCTCCTCCTCCTCTCTCCTCCTCTTCCTCCTCCTCCTCCCCCTCCTCCCCCTCCTCTCTTCCTCCTCCCTCTCTTCCTCCTCCTCCTCTTCATCCTCTCCTCTTCTTCCTCCTCCTTCTCCTCTCTTCTCCTCTTCCTCCTCCTCCCCCTCCTCTCTTCCTCCTCCTCTTCCTCCTCCCTCTCTTCCTCCTGCTCTCTCCTCCTCTTCCTCCTCCCCCTCCTCCTCCTCTCCTCTTCCTCCTCCTCTCTCCTCCTCCTCCTCCCCCCTCCTCTCTTCCTCCTCCTGTTCCTCCTCCCTCTCTTCCTTCTCCTCCTCCTCTTCCTCCCCCTCCTCCTCCCCCTCCTCTCTTCCTCCTCCTGTTCCTCCTCCCTCTCTTCCTCCTCTCTCCTCCTCCTCTTCATCCTCCCTCTCTTCCTTCTCCTCCTCCTCTTCCTCCCCCTCCTCCTCCCCCTCCTCTCTTCCTCCTCCTCTTCCTCCTCCCTCTCTTCCTCCTCTCTCCTATGAGTGTCCTATGATACCTGCAGATTAAATCCTTTCCTCTGGAGTCCCTCACTCCCATCAGACTCTAAAAATGAGCAGGGTTTAATTAATTGCTCTCCAATCCTTTAATAGGGGCTATAATTAGAGACCCCTGAGATGACGGAGAGATTAAACCAGCTGACTGAACTTGAATCTGCACTTTTACCTTTTTATTCTCACGGGAGCGCACAAGGCCGTGACACTGCACAGCGGCAGCTTCACAGCACACACAGACATGCTGAAGTGCTCACTGAGAACATGAAGGATTGCTACAACGGGGTATGAGCGCTCTGCTTTTAGAGAGAGTCCTGCACTTTAAAACCAAATCAAGTGATATGATTATACACGGAATTTACTGGAGAAATCCAAACTGCATTTTGCACAGGACGAGCAGAGGAAAAGGATGGATTTCTGTACTGTTTTAACCTTCACATTCATACTCAGCCGAAAAAGCAGCGGGAGCAACTTGAGGTTAAGTGTCCTGCCCAAGACACATCGCACATGTGGCTGCCGGAGCTGGGGATCGAACCCTCGACCTTCCTGTTGAAGACGACCGACTCTATCACTGAGCCACAGCCGCCCCATATGACTCTGAAATGAGCGAGGGACTCTACTATCAATCATTTTGGGCTCAGGACAGCGCCCCCTGCAGAGTGGCGTCCTGGGCAACTGTATATCACCTCACCTCGAGGTCCTACCTTTGCTTCATAGTGAAACGGCCTCTGATGTAGTGAAACATGCAAAGTTTGTTTAGTACTGCAGGGAGCGTGTTTAGTTTCCATGACACACACACACACACACACACACACACACACACACACACACACACACACACACACACACACACACACACACACACACACACACACACACACACACACACACACACACACACACACACACACACACACACACACACACACACACACGCTGACTAACACACACACATTGATGTTACTCAGAGATCAAACAGGAAGTTAGACTGCAGCTCAGAGTGACCTCCAGCTGGAAACACGGACTCAGAGACTCTGTCAACATGTCGTCTGATCAGAAACGTTGAGTCTAGAGACGTAATGCCCACAATACGTTACAATACAATACATTATGATACAATATGATTTGCGATGTTTAGTTTATGAAATCATTTTTCATGATTCTTGTAAGGAAGTAAGTAACTGAAGTTTGAAGCTTCAGAGAGGAGTTGCCTTGTTAACATTTCATTCATGAGGCTTTTATTTTGCTTTCTTTCTGCCTTACACCTATGTTACTGTATTTCCTGTTTTGTAAACAAACGTGTTTTATTTTGAAAGGATGAATAAAGTAACTTTAAAAAAAATAGCCTCAGTATAGCTGAGACAGGGTTTTAGACATCAACACTGAAATTGATTATAAAGGTGAGAAATTCACATATTACTGATGTGTAGGCCGATATAAAAAAAAAAAATTTCCTGCAGAGTTGTGATGTTTCCTTCCAGGATGTGAGTCTGCACAGCTCGTCAGACAGCTGCTCTTTTAAACATTTTTAAATAAAATCAACCATTATCAACCACACCTGGAGCCAACAGTCTGCACACTGTGCTGAGAGGATTATGAACTATGGAGTAAGAGCGCCCTTTGCTGGAGGTTTACACCATTTCTTTATCAACCCAAACACTGTTTACTACATGAGATGTTCTCTTTAAAGGTCACACATTCTCCTCCTCTTCATCCAGTGTAAATAAGTCTCAGAGCTCCTCAAAACATGTGTGTGAAATTTCTTGTTCTAAATCCACTCTGATCCTGTATTTGATCATGCCTATAAACCCCTCTATTTCAGCCCTGCTCAGAACAGGCTGTTTCTGTTTCTGTACCTTTAAATGTGTAAAGGAGCTGTGTCTGACAATGCCCCCTCTCTGGAAGGACTTGGGTGTCTCAGGCTTTCTCGCTCCATGTCCTATTGTTTACGGTTAGAAGGCAGACTCAGAGGACAGAACAAACACCTAGCTGTGGGAGTGTCACCCACCTGGGGGAGGGGTTACTGCCCTTTGTGATGTCATGAAGGTAGAATCTCCAAACGGCCTGTTTGAGCAAACATTTTCTCAAAAGTGGAGCAGGTAGAAGACGGAGAGGATGGACTTTTCTCATCATTGGGGGGGTTTGTAGACAGACTAGAGACACATATTATAGTTAGAGAAACATGGTGAAGTGGATTTTGCAGAATATGTGACCTTTAACCTCTATTTACAGATACTAATGAAGTATGTGTAATCTGTATGCAGCGGTCTGGATTGAAGTATGAGAAATGTTCTGGTTTCTGTTTGTAGTTCGAGCTGCATTGACCAATCACGTATCAGCAGGTCTTTGGTGTGTACAGGAGAAACAGTCAACAGGCAGAACCAATCCAGACTAATGACATACCAGCTCCCCACGGTGGTAACGTGACCATGATTCATCCACCTCTATGATCCGTCTGGGGATGTAATAATGGCGTTCACATTGCAGGTGAATGAATGACTCTGTAAGAATGTTATTTTTGGTGTTCATTAAATTATACTTCTGCAGGACACCCTGATGAAGAGACCTCCATGACCCTGCTCAAAGAAAGGATACATTAAGTTGGACTTGAGCTTGTATACTTCCTTTCTCGTCTTCTGACTAATCAAAGCGCTTGTACACCGCAGGTCACACCTATACATTCACACATTGATGGTAGAGGCTGCTGAGTAAAGAGTCCATCAGTATTAACTCATCCATTCATACACATTCACACGCTGATGGTAGAGGCTGCTGGGTAAAGAGTCCATCAGTATTAACTCATCCGTTCATACACATTCACTTTGCCCCTGACAAAGCAGCGGGAGCAACTTGGGGTTAAGTGTCTTGCCCAGGGACATATCAGACATGTGGCTGCAGGAGCTGGTGATTGAACCCCTGACCTTCAAGACATTCTATACAGGGCTAAACCAAAATGTTTGGGGCTCACGACATTGCCTCCTGGAGAATGGCGTCCTGGGCAACCGCATATCTCCTCGGGGCAGGAGGTCCCACACAATTGCCTACCTTTGACCAATCGTGAAATGGCCTCAGCTTATAGTGAAACATGCAAAACAACAAATCCTACTTTTCAGGGACTAGCGGTTAGGTCCCGCTCCATGTCAGAGGCTATAGTCCCCTAAGTGGGCGGCCCGGGTTCAAGTCGGACCTGTGGCCCCCCACTCTTTCCTACTCTACTCACTGTCAGTCCCTAAATGAAAGCAAAAGACCAAAAACACATGTTAAAGAAAACACCACCTTTACGCTCTAATCACTGCAAACCTACAGCTGTATGGAGGGAAAATAATAAGAGGAACGAAGACTCATTAGAGCTGCTCAACTTTATCTTAGTTATCCCAACACTCAGAGTAAAAAGCCTTGTGTCTCCTCACTCTCTCAGAGTAACGTCTTTCTGTCGTTGTGATTAAGTGTTTCCTGCTGAGTTTCAGTCGACGAACAGAGCGTGTGGATCCTGTTCCTGCACACAAACATGACATCTTGTTTCACCACATCACACATCTTTGACTTTCAGCTGGAAATGTGCCGCTAAACACATCACATCCTGTGCTGCAAGAGAAACACACACACACACACACACACACACACACACACACACACACACACACACACACACACACAAAGAGGTGTTCTAACTGAAGGCAGAAAGTTCAGTGTGCGTGAGAACGTTGTCAAAATGTCTCGATTTCTTTCGATACCACACGCTTTAGAACGATGCAAACCGAAAATCAAACTTCAGAGAGCGCAGTCCAGATTGACCAATTTCTTTGGCAATGTTTGAAACCAACATATTTGTGCAAACCTGACAGTGTGGACGAGTTTGTCTGATACTTTCTGATCATCAGAAACAAGAACTCATTTTTTTATTTGTTGCCATGGTATCAAACCGGAATCGATATCGTTTGATTTCTCTAAAATGGTATCAACCTTTAAAACATCTGGTATAGTGTTTGACAGTGTTTAAATGAGGTGGAGGAACAGGAGGAGGAGACACTCACCTCCTGCAGAAGATCCTCAGACCGGTGAAGGTCCTGCTCTGGTTGCAGCGGGGTGCGGGGGTGACGGAGGGCAGCTCAGCATTGGAGGCTGGGGGGGACAAGTTGGAGGTGGAGGAGGAGGTGGAGGAGGCCGCTGAGGTGGAGGTGAAGGGCCCCTCTCCTCCATCCTGCTGCTCCTCCTCCGGCTGCTGATCCATGCCCTCCCTCCCTTTGAGCTGGCGGGCTGCTCCTCTCACAGGCGGAGCAGGTCGGAGGTCAGCGTGGGGCTGTGACGGGCGGAGACATTCTGACAGCAACACTTCCACTCAGCCCTCACCGGACGTGCAGCTGCAGATCGGCCGTGTGTCTCTGCTCTGCTTCAGCTCACACCAGGAAGCAGCAGCAGCAGCATTCAAAACAAAGTGAAGGAAGGAGGAGGAGGAGGTGCAGGAGGAGGAGGTGGAGAGGGGGGCAGCTCTGCTCTAACTTCCTTTCTTCCTTCCTTCTCCTAACCCTCCCAGCCTAAGGAAGCCTCTCTCCTCCTCATGCTCTCTTCTTCCTCCCCACAGCACACGCTCACACACAATCCAGGAAGTTTGAAACCAAATACAAAGAAAGAGTCTGTAGGCTTCCTCCTTCTCCTCCTCCTCCTCCTCCTCTCTGCTGACCTGTTGCTCCTCCACTTCTTCTTCTTCTCCTTCTTCTTGTTTCTGTCTCTGTTGGAATCGTGGGTCTCTGCTGCCCTGCTCTCTCTGTCCTCTTTACTTTTATCTCAGCTCTGTGGCTCTCCCTCTCTTTTTCCTATGTCCAACCCACCCCCGGCTCTCCCTGCTCTGATTGGCTAAGAGGGAGAGGTGAGTGCTTTGCCACCTGCTGGAGCTTCTGGGGCTGTGCAGCTGCTAAAAAAAAGAGGAGGAAATGAACTAATTTTCTCCTCTCCAGAGCTGAGTGTCAGGACAGAGCAGAGGAGCGAGGAGCCGGTGAGGCCTCCGTCTTCTTCTTCTTCTTGTTTTTTTTTTATCATGTAGCTTCCAGAAGAAGAATGTCAGCTGTGAAACAGAACCACATTAACATATTCTGCACATGAGAGCTCTTCTCACAGTGGGTTTTGCAGCCTGCCTCTCACTTGGATCACATTTCTGAAGCCCTACTCTGCAATGTGCTCCCCTCCCACATAGGTTTTACATAAAGATGGAGAAGCAGCCCACGACAAGTGAGAGAGAGAGCGTGTTTGTACTGCATCGAAGCAGAGGTCGCACGGCCGCTGCAAGGCCCACGCAGAGCCCTTCACCACGTGCACGTGGCGGCTACATCCCCTGGGTTCCCCGCTCCGAGGATGAGCCCCGGTTATTTTTGACAGCCAATTAAAACAGAGGTGGAGCGGCCAAGAGGACGGAGCTCAGATTGAGTCCTTTCTCCTAAAAAGATCCATCAGGACACGTTCCAAGACCAAAAAAATACTGAGTTATAATTAGATTCTGATTTTCCACGCAAATGTTCGGCCGTCTTTACAAAATATTTGTACCCCCTCTGTCTCCCTTATGGAACAATGTGTGCTGCTGTAAATATTACTCACTTTGTTTGAATGTTTAACGTGTGGAAACAAATCACAAGTCGTCAAATTAACAGCGACCGTTTATCTGGGCAAAACTGACGTGTTCTCAAGGTAATCTAAAGGTAATCCAGGTATTTCCAAAGATGGGTCCGTGTGTTTTATTCACTTTAGGCTGTAATCTGTTCAAGGTACAAACAGTCTCTACAAGTGTCCAGTAGATGAGATGATCCTGCAGCAGGTCAACAGGCTGTAACGTCTGCAGGATCAAAGTGTGTCGACTAACAGTTGTTGTGTCCCTGACAGAGAGAGACCTTTTGGTTTTTAACCACAAACAGCTGTTACATCCAAGTGGCAAACTCCAGAGTTGAAACATGCCCGGTGCTGAAGTGTAAAATCCTGCAGTTCCTCAAGTGTCCACTAGAGGCTGGCTGCAGAAGCACAGGAAGTCACATACACACCCATTCTAAAAAGCCTGTTTTTACAGCAGAGATTAACATGTTTACAGCCTGGTTCAAAAAAACAAATAGGTCTGATTAGCTCATGTCTCGATCAGCACACACTGTACGGGGGTGAATGTTTTGATGACTCATCAGTTTTGATGTGATGAAGGATAAGAGTTATTCACAATAAGGCGTGTAGCTGACCTGATTGACAAGTGGGCGCGGTGTAACGGTTTGTCAGGAATCCTAAAACCTGTCTCAGCTCCAGCTTTCAGCCTGTCGTTAGGTTGACTGAAAGTTAGACTGAGACAGCATTTCCAGCATGGAGCCCGCCATCGATGGGACTCCAGCACCCCCTGCAGGAACAGAAAGCTGACGTAACTCAGACTTCAAACCGGTTCATGCAAAGACGTAATTTAAACAAATTCAAAGAAGGGTAGACACCAGGAGGAGATTATAGTGAGTGAAGCTTTTTAAAACAGGAGTTGTGTTGACAAAAACAAAAAAGAGAGCAAGGTTGGGCGATCTAGCCAGGCTAGTTTAGCATTTTACCACAACCATTGACTGTATAAAACATGGACATATTCTCAGTGATTGGTTACTGAGGAGGAATTTTAAAGCCAACAGTGTTGGACTTCCTGTAAGAAAGCAGACTCTAGCTAACAGACAAATAGGTGGAGCCAAGGTGGGCGTTAAGCCTCCTAACAGCTACAACACATCCACCTGTCAGTCACCTTAGCCACGCCCCCAAATATGCAAATGAGTGAATACCTCTTGGTCTTCATTTAACCAATAAGGATGAGTTTTTAACCTCTGATAACATGCTTTTTTTTTGCATGTAGCTTCAAGTGGACACTAAAGGAACTGCAGTCTTCATATTTTCAACACCAGAGGATACTGTTTATTCCTAACCCCCCACTCCTCAATCCACTTGTCCAAATATGGTCACTTCGGGTTCACGAAACCAAGATGGCAACCCCCAAAATGCCCAACAAGAAGCTTTCAAACATTCACAAACCAACGGTGATGTCACAGAGGTTTTCTATAAACAGTCTCTGGAAATATTAGTCACTTAGGATGGGGTGGGATGAAGGCAGGAGTCTCTGAGACTAAATTCTTGGAAATATCAATTAAAGCTTAGTGATCAAATGTTTGTTTGTTGTGTGTTTCTTTATAACGCCGGTGACCCGACCCTCCTCCTCGCCCTCGTGACATCAGTTTCTTTCAGGCCGTCGATCCTTCGGGCTGCTCCTGCCTCACCTGCAGCCTGTGTATCAGAGTCCTTGTGATAGTAGAGCTGCTGTTATCTAACACTGCGGAGGCCAAACTCTCAGCTCGGGGCTGAAGTGAATGTTACTGATGCGTCGGCTCAGCCTGAAATGCTTTTAACCTTTTCTGTCTCCAGAGAAAACGTGTTCACAGCTCGGCTCCTCTCCAACCCAACAGCAGCTCAAAGCGCTCTCACAGACTCTTAAAAACTCAAATACTTAGATAAGTCTTTTGTTTTATAACTTTGAGATGCATTAAACATGAAACAGACGGGATAGGTTTAAACATATAACACTACAAGAGGCAGATCACAATTAGTACCCTACTTATTGGTGAGAACGCAATTTAAATCTTTCCTTCTCCTGCCCTTTTCTTTTTATATTTTCAGAAGATTAAAATGTCAGGGCCTGATTTACTAAGCTCCCAAGAAAAGACTAAGACAATTTGCGTGAATGACACCAGGTGCAAACCTTGGGGAGGCGGTACTATTCAAGTTAGGTTTTTGCATGTTCTACTGGTTTAAGTCATGGAGAGTTTGGACGGAAAGCAGGATGACTGCAAGCACAAAATAGGTACCAGTGGAAGAGGCAAATAAACGTACAGTATTTTTTAATTAAAGCAGATAAAACTGAATATTACAAAAAGAACATCTGGCTTATAAGAAAATCTCGGCATTAAACAGGGCCTCTCTTTTCTTCCCTCCATCTTTTGAAGATGAATTGTCATACATTGCGCAGGAGGTGTGAGCTGTCTCCTCTGTGGCGCTCAGGCGCGACACTTGGGTTATTGTTGCGAACAAGACAGGTGGCCAGTGCTGTGTCTAATCGGACATAAATGTTCTGGCAAAAGGTGGCGAAGATGGGGGTACAAGCAGTGGTGAGGTCCCCCCCATCCAAGCGTAGCAGCAGCGGGCTTTAGAGGGAGGAGACGTGTGCACTATGGAGAGGAGCCCACCAGAGGGCACGAGCTGGGGGAGAGACGTGCAGCCCGAGAAGAAGGAAATCCCCAGTTTAAAATATAATGTTGGCGAAAAGAGGGAAATAGGAAGAAATAAACGTCAATGTTGAAATTCTTTAGAATGCAGAGGCTGTGAATGTTCACAGGCTATAAATAGGCAACAATATAGTTTAAAGAGCCCATATTATGCCCTTCATGGGGTTCGTATATTTAATCTATGTACCTACTAAAGTATGTTCACAATAGCTAGTTTGAAAAAAGTGTCTGTTTTCATGCACCGGCTCGCTTCTGACTCTCTCGCTCTCGCTCTGAAGTGCCCACGTTCAGAGTCCCCACGTGTGCCAAGTCTGATCTGATCGGTCGCCTGTCGGTTCTGTCGTAATTGGTCAGTCGCTCAGCACGGTTCTCAGAGATGTCCCGCCCCTTTTCCCATATTGGGAATGCAGCCACTGGCTCCGTCCGAGGGAGCATAAACATTAGCACCTTAGCACTACTGTGCTACTGCAGGCTACGGCATATCGTGGGCATGCTACAGAAGTTAACGGGCGTGCAACATAAGCTGCAGGGCTTGCCACAACGAGCCAATGGGCTTAGATCAGTGATATCACACTTACAAGACGTCACGCTGGCAAACATTTTTCGAGGAGGGCTAGAACCGAGCGTTACATGCAGCTAATGCTACAGCTAACAGGAGGACGTAGGAGAAGCCACGTTTACGCGGACTTTGAATTTTTGCAAATAGATGTGCCTAAACATGCACTGGATACATGGAAAACACACTAAAGAGCATATAAAACCAGAAAAAGCATAATATGGGCCCTTTAATCATGGTGTTTCCTGCTGTCATTCCAAACATATTAACATGCTTGGGGAATAACGCGATCTGTATGACTTCTTTTATTGTACCTATGTCTCCTCCTAACTTCAATAACAGCAGCGTGTTGTGCGTAACACTGGTATCCTGGTTTAGCATGTTCTTTTCAAAGGTGTTAAATTCAGACACCACAGTTTTTGCCTTGCTTGGTAAATCGCAATACGTGTACTAACTTCTGTTCTTTACATTTTCTCCTTCCAGTATTTTGCACGCTAAGGCAGAAACGCCCCATATTGAATATTCATTAAGGCAAACGTACTAAATGGACAATGCGTGTCATATGAAAGATGCAATCCTCACTGCACACCATTAGTAGATCAGATAGCACTTTTTTTGCTGGTGGTATCAAGTTTGCATACGTTTTAAGACATGCAAACCTTTAGTAAATCAGGCCCTAAGTGTGCATTCACACCTGAACTGTTTGGCCCTTTGAGCTTTGATAGTTTGTTTGGTTTTGGTGCTCAAACGTGCGGACCAAAGAACTGAACTCTGGTCCACTTGGAAACGGGGGTCTCGGTTCACTTCCCAGTGCACCAGAGTTTGGTTTCCTGAAGGTGAGAACGCGTTCCGAACCAAGCAAGGGAACCAAACAGCAGTGCATTGTGGGTTGAATCTGGCCGTCAGTAAACGATGTCAGAAAGGTTTATAGAGCATGACTAACGTTAGCATTGCTAACAACAGCAGCCTTCAGACCTTCTGACAGG